TTATTCTCGCCTTGGATAAACCGAATATTAGAAGACACGACGGTGAAACAGTTGCCGCAACATAAATATTATTCGGGATAGGTATTTCCCGTTCCGATCGACGAGCCCAGTCCGAGTCACGTTCCTCCGTAACAACGCGCGGATATTTCTCGGACACGTGAGCGACGAGAGCATTGCGCGGCGAGGGAACCGGAAACGGAGAGGGACGCGGACGCGCGTCGTATCGTCGGATCGACGGGATCGGCGGGGCGACGTCGTCGGACGCTCGCCTCCGTTCAACGAAATTACCCCGTTATTTCGCCGGGTAATGCGATTCCGCGAACATTTCGAGCGTTCGTTCGCGCGTATCTCCGCGGACCCACGGCTCGCGCCTCGCCTCCCCCCGTCTTCTCCTTCGCCTCCTCCCCCTCGGCCGTTCATTCCCTTGTTTTCTCGTAACTTTGCCCGACGAACGTAAATCGATTTGCTGATCAAAGAAGTTTGCGTTCCGCGACGTCGGCCGTCCACGTTCCGATGAACGTTCACGGGGACGGAGGCGTGGCTCTCCCGGCGGAAATTCTTTTCGAGTTTCGTGACCGCATCGCGAAGGAACGGGACCGCTCCTTTGGAAGGCGGGAGGGAGAGGGAGGGAGAGGGCGCGAAAGGAGAGAGAGAGAGAGTCCCGAGAGAAAGAAACTGGAACGAAACGAGCGAAATATTCGCGGGGCAAAAGTGAAAAGAGTCGCGCGCAAAGAACTAAATGGATTATCAGCGTCGCGATTCCATCTATTGCGGGTCTTCCCTCTCTCGCCGGCTCTCTCACCCTTCCGTTTCCCTTCTCTCCGCCGCGCCCCTCGTCGCCCCGCCGAGCGGAGCGCGGCGGGCGACGTTGAAGCGACAAAGCCGGGGGCGAACCGACACCGGATACTGAATTTCCGCGGAGATATCGCGAGCGGTCGCCTCCGCTCCGTCTTTCCTTATTAACTCGGTAAACGAGTAATCTCGTTGGTTCATTCGGAAGCGTCGCAGCCGGGATTCTCAGTCGCTTCGCAGCGATTCGCCTCGCGTCTAGACGCGAAACGTTCAAATTCTTCCCCGGTAACGCTTTCGGGATCCCGGAACGATTCGAACGGAGTCTTTTGTTTCGCGAATAAAGAAGAATCGTTCGGGTCACGGTGCGCGTGGTGATTTCCGTGCGGCCGGATCGTTCGGAATCGCGACGGTGGACCGCGCGTTGCATCGCGCTGCATCGCGCTGCACCTCGCCGCGCGGCCCGTGCATCTCCTCGCCGAAGTAAGCTTTCTCCGCCACGTTCCAGCAGCCGCGCCGGCAACTACGGCAATAAATCGATATAAGCGCGTAAGCCTCTTACCCGCCTAATAGGGTGATATTCCGTCTACGAAGAATAATTTTGAGCGACGCGCCGGAAACACCCGGTAAAAAAACTGACGGTTCGAACGCGCTCGACCAAATCTCGACCGAACAGTCGACGGGATTCGACGCGGGAACAGAACACGGCGCTAACTGCGTTTCTCTTCGAGCGGTTCTAATTACCTTATCATAATACTTAGACGAGGTTCCTTGACGAAACGGCACGACGTTCGCGTACCGTGTTCACAGAGATCAGACTGCAGATGTTCTTGCGGTAGATCGAACGCTCTGCGGGCGAACAAGGCTGCTTAAATCCTTAGCCGCGAACGACGGCGTCGGAGAAATCGCAATTCTACGTGCCACTGGCAACTTTTTCGTTCTACGATCTCGACAACAATTTTTGCGAATCGTATTCAAGCTTTCTGGAATGATTAGGCGAGTTAGAATCATTTGGCGAAAGCTGCATTGCCTTCATTGTGAGAAGTATGGAGTGTTTATTGTAATAATCAAATATTTATTGTTATGTTATATATTGTATATATTTTATTCTATATTGTAGTATTATGTTATATAATGTATATTGTAATAACCAAATTTATTCTTAGCACGTTGCCGTCCCGACGATTGAAAATAGCCATTATACAAATGAAGTTTGAAGGCAAAAATCCGATCATAAAATTGACTCGTGTAACCGAATCTAAACGAAATCTATTTTCGAACGTGGCAAAGTATCGCATAATTCAATTTCGCTGTCTGATATTTTATAAGTTAGATCCGTTTTTGTAAAGCGATGGAACAACCATAAAATATGCCGGCTACACGCAAAAGTTTTCGCACGAACACCCTGAATGGTGGTAGTGTTGAGATAATTTGCAATCAGGTTACAATATAGTAACTTCATAATGTCGTTTTAACATCTCGGATGGCATAGATCACATCTGAAGGTGTAATTCGAAGTTTTCGAAAATGTGACATGATTCTAATCCGCTGAATTATCGAAGAACTTGCCGAAAAAGATATGGCATTTGACGATCACAATTATGAATAACCTAATTTAAATTTTGTCCTTTATAAATATAAATTTAAACTTTGTCCTTTTCAAACAGGTCATACTTTCCTTGACCTCTTATTTAAAGCCGTGAACGCGGCCATTTCTCGACCGTTATTATTAAATCGTTTTTATTTGATCTCATCCCGAACGCTTCCGTCAGACACCATACTATTTAAAAACGAGAAAATCATGCCACATTATACTCTTGCCGTACCCATTGATACTACCCCTCTTCACAAATATTTCAGAACATACCAGAAGACTGAGAATGCACTACTGCCTGGATCTAAACTATACAGGATATCCCAAAATCATGGCACCTCCGGGAAATGAGGTGTTCCTGACGTTATTTCAAGCAACTTTTTCCTCAGCGAAAATGCAATCCGCGGCTTCGTTTCCGAGTTATTAGCAAAAAACAGTGACCAATGAGAGGCTAGCGCGGCCGCCTCGCGCCAACTGATCTCGCCCCTGATTGGTCACCGTTTTTCGTCGATAACTCGCGAACGACGCCGCGGATTGCATTTTCGCTAAGGAAAAAGTTACTCCAAATCACCTTAACAATCCCTCAGTTCCCAGAAACACCATAATTATGGTACACCCCGTAGACTCGATACTCAACAGTAAAATCTAACAAGTAAATTAAGTGTAACCTATACCACGCTCCTGTCATTACTCGCGTCAGCAGAATCACTCGTAATTCCCTTCGGCAGTTGATCGTAATTAAACGTCATACATAAAAAGAAACGAAAAAAGAAATTTAACATCCACCGCGAACAGTGGAACAATCTTTTCTGCCCAAGCGTGTTCCGAGCGTCAGGTGTATCGTCTCTCGGCTACCACGNAATCTAAACGAAATCTATTTTCGAACGTGGCAAAGTATCGCATAATTCAATTTCGCTGTCTGATATTTTATAAGTTAGATCCGTTTTTGTAAAGCGATGGAACAACCATAAAATATGCCGGCTACACGCAAAAGTTTTCGCACGAACACCCTGAATGGTGGTAGTGTTGAGATAATTTGCAATCAGGTTACAATATAGTAACTTCATAATGTCGTTTTAACATCTCGGATGGCATAGATCACATCTGAAGGTGTAATTCGAAGTTTTCGAAAATGTGACATGATTCTAATCCGCTGAATTATCGAAGAACTTGCCGAAAAAGATATGGCATTTGACGATCACAATTATGAATAACCTAATTTAAATTTTGTCCTTTATAAATATAAATTTAAACTTTGTCCTTTTCAAACAGGTCATACTTTCCTTGACCTCTTATTTAAAGCCGTGAACGCGGCCATTTCTCGACCGTTATTATTAAATCGTTTTTATTTGATCTCATCCCGAACGCTTCCGTCAGACACCATACTATTTAAAAACGAGAAAATCATGCCACATTATACTCTTGCCGTACCCATTGATACTACCCCTCTTCACAAATATTTCAGAACATACCAGAAGACTGAGAATGCACTACTGCCTGGATCTAAACTATACAGGATATCCCAAAATCATGGCACCTCCGGGAAATGAGGTGTTCCTGACGTTATTTCAAGCAACTTTTTCCTCAGCGAAAATGCAATCCGCGGCTTCGTTTCCGAGTTATTAGCAAAAAACAGTGACCAATGAGAGGCTAGCGCGGCCGCCTCGCGCCAACTGATCTCGCCCCTGATTGGTCACCGTTTTTCGTCGATAACTCGCGAACGACGCCGCGGATTGCATTTTCGCTAAGGAAAAAGTTACTCCAAATCACCTTAACAATCCCTCAGTTCCCAGAAACACCATAATTATGGTACACCCCGTAGACTCGATACTCAACAGTAAAATCTAACAAGTAAATTAAGTGTAACCTATACCACGCTCCTGTCATTACTCGCGTCAGCAGAATCACTCGTAATTCCCTTCGGCAGTTGATCGTAATTAAACGTCATACATAAAAAGAAACGAAAAAAGAAATTTAACATCCACCGCGAACAGTGGAACAATCTTTTCTGCCCAAGCGTGTTCCGAGCGTCAGGTGTATCGTCTCTCGGCTACCACGGTTAACCGATAACTTGTAATCTATTGTTTGGTATCCAAAGGGATTTCTTGCCGTAAATGAATCGATATCGAATATCAAAGGGACTGGACACGGGCGCGGCCGGCAGTCTCGCGGACAAAATTGGTCTTGAAAATCGATCGACGCTGCCAACGGGTTTATAAAATAGCGGGATGTTTGCGGGCCGCGTTCGCCGTGGCCCCCGCGCGTACTGCAGATGTTCGCGGGGCGGATCGAAGCATTCGGAACTGTAGTAATGTTCCGGATAGTACTTGGCCTAGAATCTCTGCCGGAGCTGAAGCATCGTCGAAATTAACAAAATTTCGAGCGGGTCCGGGCCGAATCGAGTTTTCCGGCGAGCGTGGCCGGGCCGGGCCGAGATCGGGCCGGTCAAAGGGAGTCAAAGGTATCGGCGACCGGGAAGAGAAGTAACCGGGCATCGATCTCGGCTGTCGCGGCCACGAGATTCCCCCCCGTCCCCCCTCTTTGGAAGATAGAGCGGCCCGCGTCGGGAGCAATTAGTTTTTCCGGAATTTATCGAGCGGCGCCGATTCTGTTTCAGAAACGTCAGTCGAACCACCAGCAGGTCCTGCTGCAGGACGCGACCCTGCATACCAGGGGTCGGTACAAGTGCGAAGTCAGCGCGGAGGCGCCGAACTTCAACTCGGTCAGCGCCGAGGCCAACATGGAAGTCGTAGGTGAGGGACGCCGCTTTCGACAACCCTCCCTTGCCCTTGCCCTACCCGTGTCGCGCCGCCTAGGCGCGCTATTCCCTGTCTGTCCTGCTAATTAATGATCCTTTGATCGTGGCCATCGAACCGCCGTAATTTCGGCAAAGCCTTCTTCGTTTGCCAGTTTCCCCACTTACGACGCCGACCGGCGACAAGAAACCTCAAGGTCCCGATTGTTAGCGGGAGTCGCGTGAGTTTGTTTAACCGTGGCCCGACCGAGGCCGGTTTATTTTCAGCCGAATTGTTTACGTGACTCGAAGGCTTATCGGTGGACCGCGGGCCTGGCGTATGTTACATGCAAAAATTAGTAGGTGAAATAATACGAGCCTCTAAAGACTTCCGAAGCATTCGAATACACCGTCCGGTTATTTGCGATATGTTACATATAATTGACGTGATCGTATCAAGAAATACATTCTGTTTCCTGCAGGTAACAATAGAAACGTTGCAGTAAAATTTCTGATCAAATTAGCGTAGGATAATGGCGCTGGTTGTACCGCGATCCGATCAGTTGCCGTGCCTTTGGTTTCTCTAATTAACGAGCATTATTTTAAGTCCGTATTTACTTACTGATATCATTTATTTGTTCTTTTATTCGGTTTATTTTTCAACGTTCAAATAAATCGAACGTGTTTCGTTCGACGAGTTAATTATGCCCGAAAGCAAATCGGAGGCACAATAACCGGCTCCGGTGTTCTGTCCATTGCTTTCTTTTCACCCGTTCGCTGTAATATGATATCGGTGACTTTTTTTGTCTTTTTTTTTGTTAGAGAAAAGTTACCGAAACCATGTAACCCAACGGATCGAAATGTAAATCTAAATTGATTTTTCGATGCATAAATATAGAAATTTTGTTTCGGTTGCCTACATGAACCGGCTTTCGGCTTTCGTCCGACCATTAAACGTTTAGCCGCGCCACGATTAACGCATCGGTCGTTCGTTCGTTCGTTCGCTAGTCGGAGACAAATCCGCGGAATAAGAACCGGTGACAGCCGGCGCGATTAGCTTAAGCTCCCACGAATTGCATGATGGTCAAATACCGGGACTCCGTTATTATAGAGGAATTTAACCATTAACATAGAGTTTAGTGCCCTACGATGCTTCAGATTGCTCGAAATTGTGCATGGTCGCTCGCCGCGTGGTTCATAACTTCAATTAAACGGATATTAGCGACTAACCTATGTATATAATTTCCCGGGTTTCGAGTGGCGACCATTCAGAGAGAGGAAAATATAGGCTACCAATTAATCAAACCGAGCGAGTTCGCCCCGGCCCTTATCATTCTCATTGGTACAGTATCTTTTGTGCACGACAGATTTATATCGTTTAACCCCCCCTCGCGATCGAAAGGGCGACAGAGCATCAATCCGTCAAACACTCGGATTAATTAACAATTCCGGCTGGAGTGCGAATGCAAAATACAAAAATTCCGTACAACGGGGGCGAATATTCGCGACGACAACGCGGAACGTATTCCGTACATTGTCGAACCATATTGCCCGGTAAATCCGTCGCAACAAAAGAACCAATAAATGAAATAAATAAATAAGTGAATAAATACAATATAATATAATATAATATATATATATATATATATATATATATATCTGTCTCTTATACACATCTAGATGTGTATAAGAGACAGATATATATATATATATATATATATATATCTGTCTCTTATACACATCTAGATGTGTATAAGAGACAGATATATATATATATATATATATATATATCTGTCTCTTATACACATCTAGATGTGTATAAGAGACAGATATATATATATATATATATATATATATCTGTCTCTTATACACATCTAGATGTGTATAAGAGACAGATATATATATATATATATATATATATATCTGTCTCTTATACACATCTAGATGTGTATAAGAGACAGATATATATATATATATATATATATATATCTGTCTCTTATACACATCTAGATGTGTATAAGAGACAGATATATATATATATATATATATATATATCTGTCTCTTATACACATCTAGATGTGTATAAGAGACAGATATATATATATATATATATATATATATCTGTCTCTTATACACATCTAGATGTGTATAAGAGACAGATATATATATATATATATATATATATATATTATATTATATTATATTTATTCACTTATCTATATATATATATATATGCCCAGTAAATCCGTCGGAACAAAAGAACCAATAAATAAAATAAATAAATAAGTGAATATATATATATATATATATATATATATATATATATATATCCGCAGCTCACGGTGAATAGTCGATTTCCATAAATCGCGCCGCGTCGCAACGTGGAGTATAAGGTCGAAAAAGCTGGCGAAAACACGATTTTTCAAAAGTTGCGCAAGATTAACAATTCTGGTTGTGTCTCAGCTATTCGTACTGTATGCGAACAACACTGTACCGGTGTTATTTTTTCCATGTACGTACTCGCGTGGCGTTGTTTTGCATTGGAAGTAAATACTTTCCACAAATAAATAAATTGACGAATAGGTTCTGAATCCATTGAACGAAAAAAATCATATTTTGGAAGATTTCATTCGTTATTTCGTCTATCAAAGGGAAGCGTCAGATATAGCTCGATCAAAAAACATATGATTCTATTTTTAAAAAATGTTGATGTCCTTCGTACGTCCTCTACACGTCCATCTATAAGAAATCTATCGCCATCACAACGCGTCCCTCTTTAAGGTATTTAATTTATAATTTAATTTATCCGAAAAAATTTTCGCTACGCGTAATTACAATGACGTAAACCTACAAGGTAATGTGTGGTAAACCACCCTAAATCACCCTGTACACCAGGGGTGGCCAAACTTTTGATCACTACGGGCGATTTGTTTTTTTTTAATTATAGCCGGCGGTCTACCAACATAGTATGTGTTAAGTGGTCGTAAGAAAAGTAATAATTTAAAGCCAAAAATAAGTATAAATTTAAAATTTAAAAATAATTTAATTTAAGTTTAAATATTTAAATAAGTTTAAAGTTTAAAATAAACATAGATAATATCAGACAGACGGGCGACTAAGAATAGTTATCGTCGACGCTTTGGCGGCCACCCCTGCCGTATACTTTGTGCCTACAGACATCGCTCCTATCGCTCTGCCAAATCTCGTTGAAATCGGTGCGAACCGCGTCGTCCCTCGCAAGTTAAGAAGCTCTAAATGAATCGGTTGGATACGCTTGAAACGCGTTAAGCGAGAAAAAATAATTTTGGCCAGGGAAATCGGGCAAATACTTGGCTGTGCGTCGGCTCGTAAAAAGACTCTAGACGGTGGACAAAACGCGGACTGGAGGACCGGAAAAAGAGAAAGAGAGAGAGAGAGAGAGAGAGAGAGAGAGAGAGGAAGAAAGAGGAGAGATGAGACAGTTCGATCAGGTCGCGTCAAATTTTAGCGCCGCGTAAAGACGAGCCCGAACGCGCGATAAACGTTACGGCCTCGTAAGTTCTGAGCTGTTACGCGAACCGCGGGTGGACGCGACGCTACGGGGGGATGCTGGGAAAACTCGCGAGCGGAGACGACGGCCGGAGGATCGTCGAGCGGAGAATCGACGAGCGGATCGGACCGTAAAAGCGTCGCGATGCGACCGGCCCCGACGCCGGAGCGGAAACGAACCTTGTCGGCGTCGCGGAGAACGAAGCCGAGCATCGCGGCGTCTGCTCATCGAAAGCGACGAAATTCTCTGTCTTTCTTTTCTCGTAGTCTGGCCGCGTTCCCCGAGCTATGCACGATCGATAACCCACCGGGTACCCGCCATTACCGTTACTTTGCCGAGCTCGTGGAAAATTTTGTACGTTGCAAATAACCCGGGGGCATCGCTCGCCTCCCGACCACCAGCACCCTTCTCCTTTCCGTCATCCCTTCCTTCCTTCCTTCCTTCCGCCCTCCTTTCCTTCCTTCCTTCTTCTGTTAACGCTCTTGTCCTTCTTTCCCCGTCCTTAGATTCGTCCGCGCGACCCCAACTCGCCGTCTTTTTCCTGCGCGGAACGGGAACGCTGCAACAAGTCGCGCGCGGCTATGATTTTCCGCGCTCGGAAACCGGAAGAAGGGCCGGCAGCGTTTTCACACTCGGCTAATGGCTCATTCGTGGCTACGGTCGCGTAACCCTCCGATCGCAGCCACCTTTTTCTTTCTTCCTTCTTTTCATTTTTTTTTCTTTTTTTCTATTAAGCCTTTGCACTCGAAGCTGTTTTTACTGCGAATCTAAAATCATTTTTCTCACTCATAGTATTTCTATTTTATACGACAAAGTGCATTTTACGCGCATGAAATTCATTCTTGCGACTCGCGCAACAGTTATGCCCCTAACAATTCTTTAAATCTTGACTTCGTTAATGTAACTTTTACTGCGAACCTAAGATAATTTTTCTGACTCATAGTATTTCTATTTTATACGACAAAGTGCATTTTACGCGCACGAAATTCACTCTTGCGACCCGCGCAACAATTACGCCCTTGACAATTCTTTAAATCTTGACTTTGTTAATGTAACTTTAACTGCGAACCTAAAATAATTTTTCCGACTCATAGTACTTTTATTTTATACGACAAAGTGCATTTTGTGCGTACGAAATTCACTCTTGCGACCCGCGCAACAGTTACGCCCCTGACAATTTTTTAAATCTTGACTTTGTTAATGTAACTTCAGCTGCGAACCTAAAATAATTTTTCCGACTCATAGTATTTTTATTTTGTACGACAAAGTGCATTTTGTGCGTACGAAATTCACTCTTGCGACCTGCGCAACAGTTACGCCCCTGACAATTTTTTAAATCTTGACTTTGTTAATGTAACTTCAGCTGCGAACCTAAAATAATTTTTCCGACTCATAGTATTTTTATTTTGTACGACAAAGTGCATTTTGTGCGTACGAAATTCACTCTTGCGACCTGCGCAACAGTTACGCCCCTGACAATTTTTTAAATCTTGACTTTGTTAATGTAACTTCAGCTGCGAACCTAAAATAATTTTTCCGACTCATAGTATTTTTATTTTGTACGACAAAGTGCATTTTGTGCGTACGAAATTCACTCTTGCGACCTGCGCAACAGTTACGCCCCTGACAATTTTTTAAATCTTGACTTTGTTAATGTAACTTTAACTGCGAACCTAAGATAATTTTTCCGACTCATAGTATTTTTATTTTGTACGACAAAGTGCATTTTGTGTGTACGAAATTCACTCTTGCGACCCGCGCAACAGTTACGCCCCTGACAATTCTTTAAATCTTGATTTTGTTAATATAAAAATTATCTTAGAACGTGATGTAACGAATTTTCACGGTGCCTCGGAGTCGCCGCTCGAGTGCAAAGGGTTGATGCTCGTCCGTTCCAACATAACACGTTTTCGACGCGAAACCTGGTCGAACGTTAACGGTGACCGCGTTGTTTTACAACAACGGCGGCACTGTATTTATTTGGACCTTTTCAGCCGCGTTTCACTTTTTTTTTATAGCGCGTGCTCGAACTGAAAAATGTATCTGCACCTACGGGCGGTTTTCGAACGGCGCGTTCACAATAGAGGGCGAACGGTTCGGAGTTGCGTTATGAAAGGTCGTTTAAATAAAAAACCGCGGGAACTTATCTACGATCCGTGAAATTGCTTCGATTAAATATAATATGACGAGCCCTTTGAAATTGTTATTTAACAGAAAATCACCGATCTCGTCTCGGACACGGCTCGGTCGTCGAGAAGCCTGTTAATAGACTTCCGATCAAAAAAAAAGGAGAAAAAAAGAAAAAATGTTAAATGAATTCGTATGAAAGAGTCTTTAGAATTTCGAGCCACGCAAAAGTGTGTTGTCAAGGACCGTTGATAAAGCAGAGTATTCTGCGCGATAAGAGATTTTAAATATCTCTTTTGATCTCGCATCACCATCGTTTTTCAATTCCAATGGGAGAATATTTATCAGCTGCTTTTTATTCCATTCCGCGATGTCAATGGACAAATCAAATTAGGAAAATGGAGGATCGACGGGGATTAATTTTGCAAATCGAGGAACGCGTCTCTCTCTTTCTCCGGGTCGGCTACCTCCTGGCTCGCTCGCTCGCTCGCTCGATACGCGGCCGTTTTATTTATTTAATAAGGGACGAACCCCGGGCCCGCTATATATAAAAAAAAAGATAAAAATAGCAAGGAGCACGATCGCAGTAAGATACGCGGAGACGAGCGTTTAAATAAAAACGGAGGATTGATACGATTGATACGTTCACGATAGACCGGTGAACTTCGTTGACCCCGGTTAACGGCCCGATTAAAATAATTGAACGTACCAATCGAAGCGGATGATCAATTCGAGCGACTGATAGTGCACGATTTCAAGTAATTAGAGTCGCGCGACACTAAATACCGGGGTAACTTTGCGATTCCGCTATTCCGTCAAAGCATAATGTTTCAGAATCCAAGCGCGCGTCATTTGATCCTCGGAACGTTTCCGAACACTTTATGGAAGCCGAAGCCTTGTTTCACCAACAAACTGTTGTCTACAATTTTCTGCAAATATATTTTCCATCGTGTCTTTAGAATTTCTCTTTTAGTCGAAGAATCTTCGATCTCGTCGATCGCTGCTCAACGAAACTTCTTAGCTCCGAAATCTCTTGCTTTAAAAACCGTGTCCACAATCTGTGACCAAATGTTGTGAATTAATATTCATTTTATCTTGTACAATGCGTAATTTTACCGTTCTGTTGCGTTTGATTTCTTCCCCTGCAACCTTAATTCTCTGTTGCAAATGAACCGCCCTTTCGTATTATTGGGTTACTATTGAGTTTTTTATTGGTATAATGAATAAATAAATAAATAAATAAATAAATCAATCAATCAATAAGTAAATAAATAAGTAAGTAAGTAAATAAGTAAGTAAATAAGTAAATAAATAAGTAAGTAAGTAAATAAGTAAGTAAATAAGTAAATAAATAAGTAAGTAAGTAAGTAAATGAGTAAGTAAGTAAGTAAATAAATAAGTAAGTAAATAAATAAGTAAATAAATAAATAAGTAAGTAAATAAGTAAGTAAATAAATAAATAAACATTCGATCGCATCAACCGTACGAGGATCAATTGAAGGCCGAAAAGATTCAAACCGATGTGAATTGTGATTTCCACGGGGTCTGCTGGTTCGCATGGGTTCTGAGAACGCGAGAGATATCGCGTAAGAAAGGTGGCAGTAGAGAAGAAGAAAGGGCACGGTGTTCCATTGTAAATCGCGCTACATATCCGCGTGCTCGCGTGCATCGCTCGCTCGCTGATGCTCGCCGGCGAGCGGGCGAGCGGGCGAGCGACTCGGAAGGATCAATCCAATCGCAGTCGCGAATGGCTTCGTTGAATATTCTAAACGAAGCATCACGACAGCTTCGAAGGCTTCGCGAGAGAACGAGCTTTTATCGAGATCGCGACGTCGGGAACCGAAAGCTCGGGATTAAACGACAGTCCGGGAACGCGAAGAATCTCGGCATTATTCTCGAGGGGTGAAAAAGGGGGGAGGACTAGGTGTCCGGTTCCCTCTGCGAGCTCTTCGGCTCCTTTCGATCTCTCTCTCCGATTTCGCTCTCTTGGGAACAAGAAAAAAAAATACCGTTTGTAATTTTATTTCGCAGAAGCAACTGAAAATCAAGGGTCTCCGGATTTTACGTTTGCATAGAAGATGCATCGGTATTAAACGCTCCTTTCTCTGCGCAGATCTCTGTGAGCCAGAGATCGGAAATCGAAATATTTTTGGGTTAAATATTGCACCGGTATTTGCTTCCGTATTGTCGCGACGTAACCGCTATCTGGATGATCGGTTTTAAATGCCGGTACAGTAATGTCTCTCTAATTGACGCTCAGATTGTCCACAAAAATGGACAATTTTTGAAGAGGAGATACGATTGTTCGAGCTTCGTGGCTCGTTTTTTATAGTTATCGATTGTCAACGATTATAAAAACGAACCGCGAGGCTCGAATAATCGTATCTCCTCCTCCCGAATTGTCCATTTCCGTGTACAATCTGAGCGTCAATTAGGGAGTCATTACTGTATTTGACGTCCAGATCGATGAAAATACCGAAATGTTTATCGTTATAGTACTTGCTCGAGTCGCTGAATATAGCTAAAAATATATATCCAGACTTTCGTATACCATATTTGTCTGTAAAAAGTATTCCGACGGACAACCATCGCGTACGAATTGGTATCCTCGACGAATAGAATTAGAATAGAAATTCGACGAGGATGAGCGCAAATTGATAAGAAGTTAATGGCGCGTCGATGCGCATCGGTATCGAGGATCCTATTCGGCGGCACGGCGAATGAAAAGTGCATCGGTATCGGCGACAATTTGATTCGCGGTCCGATCACGCAGGTTAAAGCATTCTTTAACGCTCCCGTGCTCCGCGATTATACTTTACCGGGCAATATAGTTCGTGTTTAATGCTTACTTAACGCTCATTTAATGCCTATTTAATGCGCCATAAAGTTCTACCTTCGTCTAATTCTGTCACATTCTCACGGGTTTCGTTTAATAACAGCGGTTGTTACCCGCACGCGGCCCGCCGCCCCCGCCGCGGATCACCTCCTCCGTTCCACTTTATACCGGTTTATTCACAGCCGCAAGTTTTAATCTTTAATTTGCGATTATTTCGTCTGCTATTTATTTCTCCGCATTCTTTGTTTTACGCCCGACTTTTACGTCGCTTTTCGCGCCATTCTTTCGCGTTAATTCATGATACACGCTGGTTCGCAGCCGCCGCCGCCGCAGCGCCGGCCGTACCGGGAACACGTTTTTGTTGCCGTTTCTTCCCTCGTTCCGGCGCTCGTGTTAATACGTCGAATCGTAAATAATTTCGGAAACAAATTCTAACGCCGCGTCTAACCGATGAAAAGACCGAGCCAACGCGAATCCCGAGCGCAGCTATATTTTATCGGCCGCGAGCGAAAAGGAAAATTATTTACGATTCGACCGGATATATCCTTGCGGCCGTTATCTCCGATCGCAAGCGACGATCTCGCGCGAAAGCAGCTTAATCCGAAATCGGCTAAAAGCGGGAACGTTTAATCGCGCTCGGTGTCGAGTTCACGGGCCGGGACGGAGTCGCGGAAACCGTTTCTCAGGAGACTGGCGTGTCGTTAACGAGAGAAAGAGAGAGAGAGAAGCGCGCTCCTTGCCGCTTCCGCTCCCGTGAATCGCGTTCCGAGAGGAGCCGTTTATTAAAAAGCTTGCTCTCTCGGATACGCGCCGAGGGAGCCGAACTAAAAGCGATCGCGCGTAAACGTCTCTGCGTTACAGTTCTTCCGCAAGACGGCCCGACGATAACGGGGGAGGAGAAGATTTACGCTACCGGCGATGTCCTCGACCTAAATTGCACCAGCGGCAAGTCTCATCCAGCAGCGAACCTCACGTGGTTCATCAATGGGGAGCAGGTGAGCCGAAAAAACCACATACCGCTTTCTATCTATACCGTCGCTCGCGGATACCTCTTCTACGATAGTCTAGCAACTCTTTCGACGCGACGATGTTTCGAACTGTCTGCCTGATATCACATCCGTTTCTTTTTAAACAGTTAGCTGTGTTTCACGAGTATAATAGTCGCAGAGAAGTGGAAGTATAGTAATGTCTCCCTAACTGACGCCTCGGGTTGTCCACAAAACTGGACAATTTCGGAAGGAGGAGATAGGATCACTCGAGCCTTACGATTTGTTTTTATAATTACGAATTGTCAACAATTGTAGAAACGAGCCGCGAGGCTCGAATAATCGTATCTCCTCGAAATTGGCCATTTTCGTGGACGATCTGAGCGTCAATTAGGGAGACATTACTGTATTCCGTGTCGCGATGAGTATAATCGTCGCGCGTGAAAAGCAGCGAGCATGAAAACGAAAACGTATTCTCAAATTTCAAGATGTTGAAAAATGTTCGTATCGAATAATCGTACCTCCTCTTCCGAAATCGTCCATCTTCGCGCCCGATCCGAGCGTCAATTAGGGAGAATTTCTCTTAATCCGGGTAAACGACGTTCGATCGCGTTTCGCAAAGAACGCGAACAAGTCGATAAATCGTCCGATAGAGTGATTAAAGCATTATACCTCGGCTTAGGAGACTTGGAATCGAGTTAACAAGTTCGATCTGAAAGTCGCGACCGGCGCATCGAGTCGGTGCAACGAATTGGGATATTAACCGGGTCGGAGGGTTTTGTGATCCAGGTTGAAAGAAAATTCCGTTGGCAGTCGGAAGAACGCTGCGTCGAAAGAGTAGATCGTCGTAGGAGTTTGATCGGCCGGTAGGTTAGCGTGGGTGGGAATTGCTCTGACTAGACGGCGAAGGGTGGGAGGGTGGGAACCGGTAAATGGCAGGATGGAAAGGATCGTTAACCGACGCAGGGGTGGAGAGACGTCGTCGTCGGCGTCGTCGTCGACGGTTGCGCGACAGAGTCGGCGACAGCGGCGTCGGCGACGCGATGCTTGATGAGCCAAAGCGCCAATTAACGAACGGCACCGAAACCCGCGGAGCGGAGCGGCGCGTAAACGCGGCGGGCCGCCTCTGCCGTAGCGTCACGACGACGACGACGAGGAGACTCGGTTCCCGTTCGCATTATTCGAAGAAAGAACGAACAAGGGGGTAGGGGGAGAGGGGTGCGGCGTCGTTCGAGCAACGAAACTCGTACAATTCGGTTAATTGTTAATTACCCGTCGTCGCGTAGGCGACAGGAATCCAATTTTCCGTCGAAGAAGCTCTCGGGCCGCGAGGAGCTTCCCCGCCGTCGAATCGACGTCGCGACTCGAGGCGGCTGCGGCGCGGCGTTTCGATTCCCCGGTTCTTTTCGCCTTGGACGACTTAGCCGGTGTTTTAAATATAATCCGCAAAGTGGAGGCAGTTGATGCGGGGAGCTCGCAGACACCCGGGACGGACGCGAAGCGTGCACGGTCTTAAAGACTGCGCCGATGAACGGCGAAGCTCCTTTAGGGCTTCGCAGCGAATCGAGCCCGCCGGCTCGAAAAGTTTCCTCTTATCCGTGCCGCGTCCTTTCCCCCCTCGCGCCTCCACCGGCGTTCCTCCCTCCGCCCACGCGTTACGCTCGCTTCCTCCGGTGGAAAACTTGGCAACCTTCTCGACGATGTCCATTAGGAGTTGAGCGAGTTTAGCGCGGCACTTAACGCGAGCAATATTGTTTCGAAAACGTTCCTCGTCACGAGTCTCGAAAGATTCGCCGAGCGTCGCGGCGCACAGCGGCGCAGAGCGTCGCGATTCGCGACGCCCGCGACCGATCCGTTCCCGACGCTTCCTTCGGAGCCGGCTTCCCCTCCGCCGGCTGCTGCGCACCCTCCCCCTACGAGTGTCCGCCAGTCTCAGACTCTCTTTCAATTAGCCGGAGCTTCGCGCAAGCTGCGAAACCCTTCGACGGATCGGCCACACTCGACTGCCTCGGTTCCGTTTCTCGCGAATCGATTGTCGTTCTATACTTCTCGACCGATTTGCAGCCGGGAGACTGCATAATGCAGGCGCGCGCGCCGGATGCTTGTCTGGAGCTTCTTCTCGCGGACCGATTTTACGGGAGTTATATGAATCGAGCAGCGTTAGGAACTTTAAGCAGCTTTAAACGTCGACCGACTGAAAACGCGCATCATTGTTAATTAATCTGTCGAACTGTTTTGGCCGCGGCTTATGCAACGCGACGCGCACACGCGCGCGCGCTGACTTTCAGAAACGTTCTCCGACTACCAGCCACGCGGGGGGCGCGGCTGAAAAATCGTGGCACTCGAGGGGGATGATTCTACGCGGAGAAATAAGTCGATAAATGACGTAACGTTTTCTCATTCGAGTCTGCGTTTCCGAGGAAAACAAGTTCAAATGTCCGATTTAAATGGCTTGTAGTAGAACGAGGAAAGTAGAATTGGTGTGCGATGGTCAGACGCGCCCCTCGATTCCTATTTAGTAGCATTACTTTTTCGAACTATTTTTCCCCGAGAACGGAGCCTTGGACGAAAAAATGTTATTCTTTCGCTTCGACTTATCCATGCATGTAGAATCATCCCGGTTGCGCCAACGATCGTTTCAACCCGCGATGTTGAATCGACGTTCGTCGAGAAGGCCAATTTGCGATTAAAATATTAACGAGCGTGGAGAAGCCCGGGGTTTATGCGGGTCTGAATGTAGAGGAGGGATCTTTTAAACAGGTTTCGATTTTCTGTAAGTGTACTTCGCGTAAGAGGAACCTGATTCGACTCCCGTATCAGTCAATTTTCATCCGGTAATCTCTTTAGAAACGACTATTCGGCGCGCCATCGCGTTCATCCGCGGTTCTTCCCTATCCCGGGGAATGTAGCATAATAAAGCTGAATGGTGTATCAGAGGAGTAGCAGCAACAGCAGCGGCAGCAGCAGCAGCAGTAGCCGGCGCTGATCCAGATGCCAGCGTGCTGGCTCGCGTGGCAGGCTCTCGTATCGTAAAAGACACTCGAAGCGGAGCTCGATGGAGGCAGAGGTATCGGGGCAGGGGCGGGTTTAGCGTGCTCGCATAGCTTAATACCCAATCGAAAACGGGAGTGGAACAAGCGATTGGGATCGTTCGTTTCTGCGGCAGCGCACTCGGCAGCTCGGATCGGCACGCGCGATCGCGCATATGATCGTCGTCGTCGTCGTCGTCTCGCCGCGGCAATTCGGCCCGCCGCGCGGAAATAGTCCCGAGCAATCTCCATACACGGGACCACGATAATCCGAAACTCGTTTCGGCCCGCTCCGGGCAAAGAAACTCGGACCAAGTTTCATCGGCTGAGCCGCGTTTAACCTTTTATCCGAGGTTTTCCACCCCTCGATCCCGTGGCCCCCGGGGCGGCGATCGTCTTCCGCGATCACGGCCCCGGCTGGAAACTCGAACGGAGAAACTCTGGGAGAACCGCGTTGGTTCCGTCGTTGGTCCGTTTCAGGTGATGCCCGACTCGGAAACGGTGTTCGAGCAGCACGGACTGTTCGCGGTGATCTCCAGCTTACGACTCCGGCTGCAATCGGCTCACATCGCCGACAAAATAAACGTCAGGTAATACCGTCCTGGACAATCCAACCTCCCCGACAATAGCACCAACCAACCATGACCGTCACACGACCGCCTTATCATCTCCAGCCTGTTCAACGACTAATGCGTCTCTATAAATTTTGTCGAAGATGCGAGGCGACCGTGGAATTGGATTCAAACTCGGACACGCCGTTCGTCGAGACGCGCACCACGGAGGTATTCGGTAAGCCTTGGCGCGATTGCGCGCCATCCGTTCCGTCTCCTCTGTTCCGCACCCTAGTTTTATTCGCTTTTTTCTTTCTTTTCCCCCGGTTCTTCGCCTCCCTTTCGTTTCGCTCCACGCAGGCTTCGCTACTCGTTTTCAGGGGTCGCGCGAGCGAAAGAAAGAGCGAAAGTGCGGCCGAGCGAGCGGGTCGGCGAACGGCCGAGCCGGGCGGGCTAGGCGGGTAAAACGCGGCAAAACGACGGAGGCGTTAATTAACGCGAGCTTGACGGCACGAGAAACGATTACCTCGTTATTCCCGGAGCGAAAGAGCCGCGGAACGAGCGAGAGAACGCGACGACTCACTTTCGCAGGAAATTAAGCATCGCCCGCGAGCTCCGACGAATTAAGGATGCTTTACGATCGCCGTTCGCTGTTCGCCGTTCGTCGTTGTCCGTGCCACCGTGGACCTATATACCGCAAGAGGCCGTCCCCCGGCTTCTTCTTCCGCTTCTTCCTTCCAACCAACCCTTGCCAGGACTCTTTCCCGAGACCGCACACCGCCCCGAGCCACCGCGCGATCCATCGAAATTAAAACAATAATTTACTCCCCGTTACATTTTCCGACCACTTCGCTCCTCTCCGCCCCTACCCTGCCGCGCCATTCGTTTACTTCACCCTCGTCTACCGACCTCGGAATCGCCGATGAGATCGCGGCCGAACCGCATCCCCTTCCTTGGCCGCGGCAGAGATTTTTCAAAACCACCCCCCAAAACTCATCGGAGTGGGACGAGACGAATATTACACGATTTTTATGAATTAAAGAAACCAGTGCTGGTCTCGCTGTATTAAACTTGCGGAGCACCGGGTAGATCCGCAGCATCGGACACCTCTTTTAGAAAATTGGACTGATATTGTCTGGTTCTTTCGGGCTGGAGATTTTTCATAAAGTGTCCCCGGTGTTCGACTCAGGCGGCTGGCGAATATTATGGGTGGACCGCGAACTTTTATGCCATCTGTGACGTTTCCAAGTTTGCGAAATAGAAAGGAAAATTTCAGTTGATTAAAATTTTGATACTACGACTCGACGATAGAGAATCGTTTAACCCACTGAAACAGATCTGTTTCGAATTCTGATTTTTCTAAAACAGCCCGCGAATATTGACATTTCCTTCGAAGATTATAAGATCTCTACAAGGTGTCCCAAAAATGTCTCGCAATCCGGAAATGGCAGGTTCCTCGGATCATTTGAAGCAACTTCTTCCTTTACAAATATGTTCTCCGAGGCACCGTTAACGAGTTATCAACGAAAAACAGTGACCAATAAGAATCGAGTACGGCTAACGCGAGGCGGCCCAGCCAACCAGCGCGCGAAGCCCAGTTCCGCTCATTGGCTCGGTCGCCTCGCGCCAGCCGAGCTCGCCTCTCATTGGCCACTGTTTTTCGTTAATAACTCGTTGACGGTACCTCGGAGAAAATTTTTGTAAAGGAAAAAGTTGCTTCGAATGACCCGAGGAACCCGCCACTTTCGGATTGCGAGACATTTTTGGGACACCCTGT